AAGTAGTGACAGGACAGACATTTATAATATTTGTTTATCATTTGTTAGCAAAATATTTCTATTTCAAGTATCTATTTCTATTTATCAAAGAATCCTGAAAAATATGGAAAAAATGTTTCCCACAAAAGCACAACTGTTTTCAACATTGATAATAATCAGAAATGATTCTTGAGCAGCAAATCAGCATATTAGAATGATTTCTGAAGGATCATGTGACACTAAAGACTGGAGTAATGATGCTGAAAATTCAGCTTTGCATTACAGGAATCAGTTACCTTTTAAAATGTATTAAAATGTAAAACAGTTATTTTAAATTGTTATAATATTTCACAATATTACCGTTTTCTGTTTTTAATGTATTTTCAATCAAATAAATGCAGCCTTGTTGAGTATTCTTACATTTGAACGGTGGTTGGCGTGTGTGTGTGTGTGTATACCTACATGCCTTTTATTACAACAAAACTCCCTAAGCAAATAAGCATTTTAAACAATGCTTTTAAAAGTACACAAAACAGACTAAAGTTTCGCAGCTCATTTTTAGATAGCAAACATAACCTGCAATTAAGTAAGCAAGTGATAAATATGAGTTTATTCAGTGGGAAAATGAGCTGCCTGGCTCAATCAGATTCAGAATGATTTTTAATGATTTCAAATTTTTCATTAAGAAGAACTGTGGTCAAATTCATTAGACAGAAGGATGTGATGACACAGTGCTTCTCCTGAATCACTAATACAATATGAAAAGATGCTGAATCCTAGAGTGATAGTACTTGTGTGCCAATACTTACAGTGTTCTTTGAGGAGGGCCTTCCAGTCTTCTTGGTTACAGTTAGAAAGGATGACAATGGCACCTGGTAATGAGGGCAAAGCAGAAATTCACAAATATAGTACATGCACAAACACACTAATCATTAATTGATAAATTATTCCTGGAAATAGGTAATAATGATCCATAAATAATAATAAAAGTCTTACCTCATGCAGTAACTCAATATCACAGGCCATCTGCCAGAGAACACTGAAAGCTTGGTAGTTCTTGTAATCTCTTGGACGGGTCACTAGTTTCTAAAAGAGAAAAGAAGCATAATTTATACTTCATACTTCCAGCTTGAAAGCTCCAACTGCTGCTACTTGTATACAGGGTTTCTGCAGACTTGAACAAGTTAAATTTAAGACTTTTTAAGACCTTTTTAATACCGCCTTATATGAAATTTAAGACCTAAACTAATATTTTCATCAGTGTTCTATCAGCTTTTACATACTTGAATCTGCATATTTACCTTTACAAAGGCCTATTTTTAACCTTTTTAGATGTATGCATCATCTTACATGTCAAATT